GCTGCAGCAGCAAAAACAACAACAGCAGCAGCAACAGCAACAGCAACAACTGACAACGACAAGCACCGCAATATCAACAACAACGACGACAACGTACCAAAAGCTACTGCTACTGCTGTTGCTGCTGCTGCTGCTGCTGCGCTGATGCTCCTGCTCCTGTGCTACCACTACTGCTACTGCTATTGTTGCTACTGCTGCTGGTGCTGCTGCTACTGCTGCTGCTGCGGCTACTGACTGCTGCTACTGCTGCTACGGCTACGGCTACTGGTACAGCTGCTGCTGCTGTTGTGGTTGTTGCTGCTGCTGCTGCCACCGCGACAACGACTTCTGCTACAACAAACAAACAATGCCAAGTCTATGTCTACGTTTACACACATGTGGACCACTAGCGCGGAGGTCAACACCACCACGAAGACTCGCCCAAATGGCATAGATCAAAGCTCGTTTGCATGCCCCACACACACACAAACAGTAGCTCCGAACATGCAGTCGCTGACTGCCTTACCCATCCAAGCAGCGCAGCTGGCTTGTCAGTCTTACGACGGTGATAGAGGCGAGCATGGACGCGCAAGCGATCAATCGAAGCCATCGGGGGCCCCGGTCCCGACATGTCCTACTTCCCAATTCTGAGGATTCCACGCTTTCAACTGATGCTGCTCGGCACGTAACCATGTCAAGCAAACGCCGTGTCAACAGTGCACAGTGTAAAAGACAGAACCTATAGGCCTACGGGCACACCGCAAGCAACTCAACTACCTCTTAATAAGCTCCATGAGCTATCCGTGACCCGTGACATAGGCATGACCATCAATCATAGTCCCACACCGAAACTGTGGATGTTGCATCCTTGTACAGCTCCGCAAGGGGCCTAGCGACTAGAGTTGCAGGCCGTTCACACATTAAGTAGACAAAAACACTTGTAAAGGAGTAAGTCTGCTATTTGCTCAAACGACCTCAACCCTATCTCTCTCGCTCTCGCTCTCTGTCTCTCTCTCCCTCCCTCCCTCCCTCTCTCGCTTCCACACCTGCTCAGCCTGCAGGAACAAAGCCTGAAACTCTAAAGCGACGGTCTAACCAACTGGTAGGCCTTCAGGGTCTATATACAGCGGTCAATGGACCGTTCATGCATTAGAGATACGGGTGCAGGACCGTTCTGAGTGCCTTTGTAATAGAAACAAGGTAACGGCATGAATCCAGGTCAAGTCACGGTGCTTGGTCTTAAGTTTACGCTCATAGGAAATTGGCCAACCGTTTGGAATCTTAAAAACCCTCTCATACTATCAAACCCTATAGCACCTTGCTCATAAACCCTTACACTTCGCAGTCGGGGACAGCACCAAGACCGGTTGTGAGTTATTGGCAGCTAGGTTGAGTCTTGGCAACTGAACCTTGAAAAATTCCCAAACTCAAAGGCCGCAAAGTGTTGATGGGCATCGGGAAAAACTGTTAGGTTCTCGGAAATCCCAGACCTTGAGCCCCATCGAACTAAGCAATAGCAACCCCAACAACCCGAAACCCTACTCAACTGTAAACTCTGAATCGCTTTGGGCTCCGATGCAGCATTGTGCAAGCCTGGCTGAGTCGTTGTCAGTTCCAAGCTTCTCAAGGCACCTGAGTTCTGCTTCTCTTCGCCGGCCGCACCTCGTATTCTGCTGGAACCCCGAGCTGCCTGGCTATCTGCCGGGCCTTGACTTCGGCTTGGTCCTTGGAACCGAAGGAACCATGGTGAACATACTTGCTTTCGGCGGCATGGTACAGCTGCACAATCCACTTTCGTTTTCCTTGGTTAAAAGAAACGCCCCTCACAGTTGAGCTGGGACCCTTCTGCTTCGGGGGTTTCACCTTGCCTTGGCTCACGAGCTCTTCGCGGAATGCCTTGGCTTCCTGCAGCGCGGCCTCGACTGCTGCCTCCTCACCGAGGCCCTGCTCGAGGAACTTGGCAATTGAAAAGTTGCGAGCTGTAGCTTTGTAAATACCATCTTCTCTATACCTCCATTGGCATCTCCAGCAACGTCTCTGCGCTTCCCAGTTAATGTTCTGGAGTCCGCTCTGGCGCTCCTGTCGTACATTGACCTTGCCAGCAGCTTCTGCTCGGGCTTTTGTTGCACCTTTGACATCCGGGTCCGAGGGCGACCCTTCCCGCAGCAGCAACTCGTCAATCATCTGCTTAATTTTCAGCCAAGCCTTCCCCGCAGCAGCACCTTGAATCTCCCCAACCTTATTCTCGAATTTGCTGATCTTCTGTTGCACGAAGTCCAAGACATACTCGATGGCTTGACAATCGAATTGGTTCATCTGCCACACACGCAGAGCATGCAGCAACAACGACCGAACTCGTTTTTGCACATCCACTGTCGGATCCTGCGATTCCGAAGCAGTTCTGACGTCGCCTAGTCCTTTAGCATCAGCATCCTGCAGCCTCGCATGTCTGCGCGGAGCTGCAAGACAAGCTGCCGCCGTGCTGAGCACATCTGCTAGTTCTTCCTGGCTCAAGCTCCTTCGTGAGTGCCTTGATGCTTCCTCGGCCTGCTGCAAGCGCTCTAGCTTCTGAGCGTTGTCCAGAAAGCCCCACTCGTTCATCTTGCGAAACAGCATGAGGTGTTGATCAGACTGGGCAGATGCACTGGGGGATCCGGAATCGTCCGTGTCACGGACTTGCAGGGCTACATCCTGCTCGGCTCGCAACTCAGCACCAGCGATCTCAGCATCGGCAGCGACAACCACTGTGTCTGTTTCGGATTCCCTGCAGCGGCGGTGCAGCTTCCGATAGCTTTTCTGCAGCCGCTTCTCTGCCCCATTCCAGGCCTCATCGGCCTGCCTAGGCAGAGACTGGAGCCGGCGCTTCATCTCACATAGGACATCGCTCAACCGAGAGGGCAACAACCCACCATCAATCTTGTTCATGAACTTCGTCACTAGCTGGAGCTCTTCTACCGTCGGAATCCGACCCGCAGGGCCGAAGGCGATCCAGGACGCCACCGGGGCTGCGAGCCTTCGGAGGTCTGACTGGTCGGCACAGTCCGCTTTCTCCCAGTACGTGCTGATCCTGAGCTGCATTTTGGGTTGTCGTGTTCAATCCTGTCCTCCTCCTACTAGTATTACAGTAAGGAAGGGAGATGGGGAAACATTTAGGTGGTGTTGAATAAGTATTGAGAAAACAGCCATTGCATTAGTGATTGTGCCTGCGAGAAAAGCAGTGCCAGATCTCGTCCGCGCGCGAAGTTGGGATAGCTAGCTGGAAACTGATGTCAATAGCATCAATAGGATTCGTAGTTTGTCACTGAATTTGTGTTTCAGATCGCACATGTTCATGATTTTCATCAGTGCAGGCGTCATTTGCGTGTTCCACGGCTCTTGTTCTAGAACTTCTAGTCGCACTATTTTCCTTGTTTTGCAGGCAAACAATACGTAACGGAAGAGTTATTAGCCAGGCTGGGAAAGCCAGACACTTGTGAGCAAGAGATGCTACCGAACGACCAAACAAGCTTAGTGAACAAACAATGACAAAGAGAGATGTTAACGGCAAGTGGAGGAACCATTCCGAAGCATTTTCGCAGCCCCGACTACAAAGCAACAGTAGTAAATGCGGCAACACTAGCTACAACACCACAGCAACAACGATCACGACAAGTACAACAACATCAACAACAACATCGACGACAATGTAAAACAACACAAATCTGCTACATTGACGGCAAGCAGCGCAGCTGGCTTGTCAGTCTTACGACGGTGATAGAGGCGAGCATGGATGCGCAAGCGATCAATCGAAGTCATGGGGGGCCCCGGTCCGGATATGTCCTACTGCCAAGGAAAATTCTGAAAATACCTCGCTTTCAGGTGATGCTGCTTGGCATGTATTTCTCAAGCACACGCAGTGTCAACACTGCACAGGCAAACATAAAACATAATCTGTTGGCCTACGGGCACGACGCAAGCAACCGAGCTACATCTTAATTTCCGAGATCCCTCTGTGTCACAGGCATGACAACCAATCATTTCACAAGCGATGCAGCCTGCCCCGGATAGTATATAATTCGCGCCCCACTAGTCAGAATACGGGTTGGGGGCACAGCCTGTTCTTGCATGGATACTTATAGGTTATATAATATATAAGGTACAATGGAGAATATCAAGACCCCGTTACGAACCTCCAAATCCTGTGCCATGCGAGATTGGCAGCACAGCCGGACATGAACATCCCGACGCCCTCTCTCATGCTCTTTTGTGGATATTGTGTGGTGCCGTATAGAAGTCATGAAGCTTATCTCGCGGTGTTTACAAAGAGTGTCTGAATTACTAAGTTTACGGTCTAGATACGGGATGCAATCGATTTCTTGCCGTCTTGCGGAAACCGTACACCGACATATGTTGTTATGTTGCATCCTCGTGTGGCTCCGCAGAGGGGCCTAGCGACTAGCGTTCTGGAGGCTGTTAACACCTCAACGAGACAGAAGAGCCTAAAGGAGCTGGTAGGCTTTCACCGTCTACAGCGGTCTATGGAGCGCTCATGCATTAGAGATATTGGTGCAGGTCCTTGCTGAGTGCCTTTGCAAGGGTCAAAACAAGGTATCGGTATGAACCCAGGTCAAGTAACGTGAACGGCCTTAAGTTTTCGCTCATAGGAACTTGGCCAGCCTTTTGGAAATCGTATGAATCTCTCTTACTATCAAGCACTAGAGCACCTTGCACATAACACCCCTTACAATTCCCAGTCGGGAACAGCACCAAGACCGCTTGTGAGTTAGTTGCAGCTAGTTTGAGTCTTGGCAACTGAACCTTCCAGTGTTCCCAAACTCAAAGGCCGCAAAGTGTTGATGGGCATCGGGAAAAACTGTTAGGCTCTCGGAAATCCCAGACCTTGAGCCCCATCGAACTAAGCAATAGCAACCCCAACAACTCGAAATCCTACCCAACTGTATACTCTGAATCGCTTTGAACTCCGATGCAGCATTGGACAAGCTAGACTGAGTCGTTGTCAGTTCCAAGCTCCTCAAGGCATCTCAGCTCTGCTTCTGTCTCTTCGCCGGCCGCACCTCGTATTCTGATGGAACCCCGAGCTGCCTGGCTATCTCCCGGGCCTTGACTTCGGCTTGGTCCTTGGAATCGAAGGAACCATGGTGAACATACTTGCTTTCGGCGGCATCGTAGAACCTCACAAACCACATTTTTTGCCCTTGGTGAAAAGAAACGCCCCTGACAGTTGAGCTGGGACCCTTCGGTTTCGGGGGTTTCACCTTGCCCTGGCGCACGAGCTCCTCGCGGTAGGCCTTGGCTTCCTGCAGCGCGGCCTCGACTGCTGCCTCCTCACCAAGGCCCTGCTCAAGGAACTTGGCAATTGGAAACGAGCGAGCTGTCGCTTTGTAAATACCATCTTCTCTATACCTCCATTGGCATCTCCAGCAACGTCTCTGCGCTTCCCAGTTAATGTTCTGGAGTCCGCTCTGGCGCTCCTGTCGTACATTGACCTTGCCAGCAGCTTCTGCTCGGGCTTTTGTTGCACCTTTGACATCCGGGTCCGAGGGCGACCCTTCCCGCAGCAGCAACTCGTCAATCATCTGCTTAATTTTCAGCCAAGCCTTCCCCGCAGCAGCACCTTGAATCTCCCCAACCTTATTCTCGAATTTGCTGATCTTCTGTTGCACGAAGTCCAAGACATACTCGATGGCTTGACAATCGAATTGGTTCATCTGCCACACACGCAGAGCATGCAGCAACAACGACCGAACTCGTTTTTGCACATCCACTGTCGGATCCTGCGATTCCGAAGCAGTTCTGACGTCGCCTAGTCCTTTAGCATCAGCATCCTGCAGCCTCGCATGTCTGCGCGGAGCTGCAAGACAAGCTGCCGCCGTGCTGAGCACATCTGCTAGTTCTTCCTGGCTCAAGCTCCTTCGTGAGTGCCTTGATGCTTCCTCGGCCTGCTGCAAGCGCTCTAGCTTCTGAGCGTTGTCCAGAAAGCCCCACTCGTTCATCTTGCGAAACAGCATGAGGTGTTGATCAGACTGGGCAGATGCACTGGGGGATCCGGAATCGTCCGTGTCACGGACTTGCAGGGCTACATCCTGCTCGGCTCGCAACTCAGCACCAGCGATCTCAGCATCGGCAGCGACAACCACTGTGTCGGTTTCGGATTCCCTGCAGCGGCGGTGCAGCTTCCGATGGCTTTTCTGCAGCCGCTTCTCTGCCCCATTCCAGGCCTCATCGGCCTGCCTAGGCAGAGACTGGAGCCGGCGCTTCATCTCACATAGGACATCGCTCAACCGAGAGGGCAACAACCCACCATCCATCTTGTTCATGAACTTCGTCACTAGCTGGAGCTCTTCTACCGTCGGAATCCGACCCGGAGGGCCGAAGGCGATCCAGGACGCCACCGGGGCTGCGAGCCTTCGGAGGTCTGACTGGTCGGCACAGTCCGCTTTCTCCCAGTATGTGCTGATCCTGAGCTGCATTTTGGGTTGTCGTGTTCAAGCCTGTCCTGTCCTCCTCCTCCTCCTACTAGTATCACAGTAAGGAAGGGACATCGGGAATACTAAGGTGGTGTGTTGAATAATTGAGAATACAGCCGTTGCATTAGTGATTGGGCCTGTGAGACAAGTAGTGCCAGATCTCGTCCGTGCGCGAAGTTGGGATAGCTAGCTGAAAGCTTATCAAATTAGCATCAATATGATTCGTAGTGTGTCACTAAATTTGTGTTTCAGATCACACATGTTCATGATCTTCATCAGGCGTCATTTGCGTGTTCCACGGTTCTTGTCCCAGAATTTTTATGTGCACTGTTTTCCTTGTTTTGCAGGAAAACAATGCGTAACGGGAGAGTTGTTAACCAGGCTGGGAAAGCCAGACACTTGCGAGTAAGAGATACTACTGAACGACTAAACAAGCTTAGTGGACAAACAATGAAAAAGAGAGATGTCAATGGCAAATGGAGGAACCATTCCGAAGTATTTTCGCAGCCCCGACTACAGAGCAACAGCAGTAAATGCGGCAACGATAGCTACAACACCCCAGCAACAACGATCACGACAAGCACAACAACATCAACAATGTCGACGACAACGTAAAACAACACAAATCTGCTACATTGACACCAAGCAGCGCAGCTGGCTTGTCAGTCTTACGACGGTGATAGAGGCGAGCATGGATGCGCAAGCGATCAATCGAGGCCATTGGGGGCTCCGGTCCCGACATGTCCTACTGCCAAGGAAACGTCTGAAGATTCCTCGCTTTCCGGTGATGCTGCTCGGCATGCAACCTTTTCAAGCACATACAGCTTAAATAGTTGAAACATCGCACAGGGTAAACAACAAAAGGATCTGCTGGCCTGCGGGCACGAGACAAGCAACCGAGCTACATCATATACAAGTTCCGAGAGCCCTCTGTGTCACAGGCATGCCAACCAATCATTTCACAAGCGATGCAGCCTGCCCCGGATAGTATATAATTCGCGCCCCAATAATAAGAATATACTGCTTGGGGGGGGGGGGGGGGGGCAATATGTTCTTGCAAGGATATTCATATAGGGCAAAAGGGAGAAAATACTGTTCAGTATCAAGCTGCTGATTGCTCAATCGACCTCAACTCTCTCTAACTCTCTCTCTCTCTCTCTCTCTCGCTTTTTGTTGTCGCTCTACACATGCTCAGCCTGCAGGCCCAAACCTTGAAACCCTAAAGCCTGAGCCATTGGCTCTCAAAAACGGGAACATGGTGTTAAAAACCAGTAGGCTTTCAGCATCTACAGCCATCTACTCCTGCTTTAGCCACACAGGAAAGGTACGAAGCTGAGGGTTCTTGACGGGTTTAGGGCTTTTTGCAAGGTGAGTTAGTTGAGTTGGCTTTGGCTTTAGCATTCGGGGTTCCGGATATCGGGTTGAAGGTCTAAGTTGGATCTATGGCGAATCTGGGGTCTAGGACTTAGGACCTGGGGTGACTGCAGCGTTTAGAAGACGCCATTTTGGGCTGCTGAACAAAAATCTTACCAAGCCCAAAGCCCTTGAAGCTTCCATCCGGTAAACCAAACCTCAACCTTGCGGTACTTTGTTTGGGGATCCTTGTCATAAGGATCCTGCTGTTCAACCTATGTAATCTGTGGGTCTTTTCAGTTCTGACACTCCGGAATTCTACCTGCACTTGAAACATCTGTAGGGCTTATGGACATGCCCAAACTCTACCCATATAGGATAGACGTGCCTGAAGGTTGTCCACGCGTTCCCTCTCTTTGATACGAGAACATGAACCCTGAGCCTGGAACAAGCAAGCCGCCAGCCAGCCAGCAAGCAAGCAAGCAAGCAAGCGAGCAAGAAAGCAAACAAGCGAGCAAGCAAGGCAAGAATGCAAGGAGTGCAGGTACGCAGGCACGCCATCCGTCTATGCATCAATCACGAGACATATTTGAACACAACACACACAAGACACACACACACACATGATTTGACACATACCAACCTACTCACCTATCTAGCTAGGTACCTACCTACCTATACCTACCGGCATAGATGCAATCATGCCTGTTTACTTACATCTTTACATTACACACAGCATACTTGTGAGCACTCGCACTCGAGACAACCACTACATACATTACATATATCACACACATTACAAATAATACTACATCCATTACATGCGGTGACAAACATCAGGCACATCACAGGTAACAGATAACTTGCATACACGCATGCCTACATGCATGCTTACATGAATGCATGCATAAACACACACACACACACATTACACAGTTGCATGCATCAACACGAAGTAGCATAGACGCGTGAATAGAAACATGCATACCAAATACTAGATTACACTGCATCGCATTATATTCCGTTTTTTGCCTGGCTGATTTCATCACAATAGATTACCGTACATTAATCATGTAACTAACTTCTGTTACCTTATCCGTACCTTTGCCTTTACTTGTTATCCTGGTAGTGCATGCACATTTCCTGTGTATGTGTGTTCAATACGCACGTATGTACATCCATCCTTCCCACCAGATGGCTGAACCAATGCGGGATTCAAACACCGTTTTTCAGCACGGACTGAGGGGCCAGGCCCCTGCAACTTTCACCCCTTCAGAAGGACTCTCAACCCTAAACACTCGTAACCATCCTTGCTGCGAAGCCACACCAGGTTTCAGATCTTGGCTGAGACCTTGCCTGGGATAGTCCCAAAGCCCTCAACTCCAAACCCAGAAGTTTGTTCCTAATACGAAGCTTTGAAGTTCACGCGCGACTGAATAATTGAAATTTCGGCTTCAAGCTCCGAGGTCTCACTAGTATCTTTTTGTTTCCGTCGTTTGTGTCGATGGGTTCGGGCTTTCAGCAATCGTTCTTTGTTTGCCTTTAGGACTTTAAGGCTGCTGGGGTTTCAGCACTCAAAACTAAAACCAAGTCTGGCGAGGTGCCCAGGCTTTTCAGTGCAGGGTTTGCGGACACTCACTCCCGATGGCCTTGCTATCATTGATTCAAACGTATAGCTTCTTGATATGTGCTGGAGGAAGTAGGAATGCCTTTCACGGTCAGCCATGAACCCCGGGGCTTAGCCCTGACCACTACATGGTAGTGCTCCCGACAAGAGCTTAACACCAAACCTGAAATTCTCGGCCGCACAAGCCCTGCGTAAACTCTAGCCTCCGAGGAAATGACGGGTCAAGACGTGAGAATGAAACCTTAACTACGGAATGACAAGTTTGGAAGGTCGGGTCTTAAAAAGTGGAATGCCGAACCCCTAAAACCTGAAGCCTGCACCTTCAAGCCGAAAGCTGTTTGACTGGAATCACAGCCCGGGAGGCGACCATGCTGCACCTCCTGCGGTCCAGTCATCGGCATCGTACCTTACTCCGGCACTCAGTTTCTGCTAAATGCGACCCACGAGTGGCCTTTAATGGGAGAGGTCTGGATACTTAATGAACAAGTACAATAACAACAGCATGAAAGACAAATGTGATGAGTGGTACCCTCATACAGCGTGAAGGTGATGCCCCGCGTGACACGAGTGATCTAAACAATACAACCACCACCCTAATGCCAGACTGGTTACCGCCAAGAGTGAAAACCTACCGAGACGGACACTAAGCATTTCAATGAACAACAATAATTGCAGTCGACAAATTATTGCAGTTTTACTTTCAAACCTCCCTGTTCAACCCCCTACACCAAGCAAATCGTGGGCCCAACAATATGGAGACGCTGCACCTGAAACCTTAAACTCCCCAAGCCCGAAAACCGTACTGAGCACCCGCCCCACCGCCCTATCCCGATGACTCGAAGACTTACAACACTTTCTCAGCTCTTTAAGGCCCCAAGTCACAAATATGGCATCATGTGCGGACCTCGATGATCAGAATGGGTTTGGGGAATATTATACCGTCTAGGGAATACTTGAGGAGGAAATTTTGAACTCCCTCACATTCTGTGTTTAAGGTTCATCGGCACGTAGTTATAAGTGGGTTTATGACCAGGGTAACTACAGTTATAACCCACATGAAAGGACTTATTAAAACCCCACGTATAAAGTATAACTATTCACGAACCTCCAAGTAGGGTCGGGGGATGAAGATGTCGGGTCCAAGGGGCCGTGGATGAATTACCTCAAGAACACATTCCCTCTGTCCCTACACAGTCCGACGCAGTTGCCCGACAAGCCCGACCTCTGAATGAACTAATTACTATTCTCTTCTCATTCTACATGAGATGGCTCTACCATAGACTGCGGGCAGTCTGAAACCGGAAGCCTACAAGCCCAAAAAGTGTGAACCCTGAAATACCATACAGTAGATGCCCAAAAGTTAGAAACCCAATAGCCTCAATCCTGAAGAGAAATGTATAGGGAATCCCGGCACTATTCGGCCTTGATCCGGTTTCCAACTGTATGGGGTTTACTGTACTTTCCATGCTTGCCCAGCCGCTCCCAAGCACCGATGTAGAGGCAAAGGCCATCGTCCGCCAGAGAGCCCATCTCTTCTCGCCTCGAACAACAAACCCGTACCATTCAAACGAGTTAAGGGCCCAGGGTTCAGGGATGACAGAAATGACAAGTAAGAATACCTATTTTGATATATATATATATATATATATATGTATATATATATATATCATTTTTGATGAAGTCGGGCTTATTGGGGCTAGAGGCTGTCACTTGGGATGTAAAGTTTGCGGGCTGTGCAACACCATATCGGAGGGTTTTGGATGAAGGCGAGTTAAGAAGGCTTGGGGCTCATAGGGCCGAGGTTCATGGTTCGTTAGTCTTGTATTCCGCCTAAACCCTTTGCTATCCTCGACTTACAATGCGTGCACAGGTCACAACTTTTAGTGTAGATACGCGAGTCTGCCTCAAGGACAGCACTGAAGCCCTAAAGTCTACCGAAACGCCGGAAAAGCAATAGCCTCAACAGCCATACAAGGCCATAATCGCGACATACTTTTGGGGTCCGGCTAAGCCTAACCCCAAAATCCTAAACCCGAAGCCCTAAAACCTAAGCAAGACTTGGGAAGATGAGGTGTGGACGAGCGCAGCAGGCGGAGAGCTTCCTGAGAGCGTGTGTTATGACCCAAAGGGTCCTAGGTACTGTTATGGGGGAATATACTTCCCCAAATCATATGAGTAATTCCCCAAATCATAAAAAAGTAATTCCCCAAATCATAATAGTAATTCCTAACATAGAAACACTACATTCTGCTATGCAGGTACTTTGGAGCCTTTGGGTCATAACATACTAAATGGTCCCGAATTCTGGGGTGTTTCCCACCGGCACAGCTGACAATGTCGCACCGCAGGGCATTTCTTTGCTTTACTGTTTAGGGTTGAGGGAATGTCAAAGTATGCCCCTCATGGGAACTGTGACGGAATCACATTGCACATAGTTTCAGGCGCCTCTGGCAGCTCGAGGCTCTTGGAAGTGTGTGTCGTGGAGTTTTGGCGCACGAGTCACGGCTCTAAATTCTAAAGTTAGCGTTTCTTCTGAAGCCATCCTTTTGAACCCTCAAACCAAAACACAACCTCGAAACTGACATCATTCGCTGCCATAACAATTAGAGTTTAGTTTTGGGTATAGAATGTGGTAGAAGTCCCAAGCACCTCTTCGGCGGTGCGATAAGTATTCCTGAGACCTTATTCGTCATACGGAAGTGTAGAGCCCTTAGACCCAAAAAGCCTTGATGCTAACACGATGGCCCATGAGACTTGTAAAA